CACACATCCAGAGCCTTCTGTGGTCTCCAAGCAACACGGCTTGTCAGGTGATGGAGACAGGATGGTCCATGCAAATGAGCAGACCCAAGTCACACTATGTGCAACCAAGACACGATTCCAGACATCGTCAGAATGGATTAGAATCACAAGGAATGGATGTTCAATGGAGCGACTGATAATTAGTTGGAAGCACATTATTGTAAGTGAATCTCCCTGAAAATATGCTTATTTATTGAATATACTGGCCAACAGCATCCACTAACTGTCCTTTTATTGCCACAAGAAAGTAGGACAATATAGTAGATAAAAGGAGAAGCGCTACCTTAGGTAATCTTTAAAAGCCAAGATAAAATTTTTCAGCTACCCAAGTGGCATTTCTTACTACTGACAGTTATATCATGCAGGAGTTATACCATATTTGTGGAGTCTATGGTTAATGCTACATTTATTTCCCATATGTGGTAAACAGTATTTGAATTAATATTATGTAGCCGATTGATGCCATCTGGTTTACAAGATGGAAGGGATGGGAGACCGAGAGCGCCTTAGAGGACAAGGTGAGCTGTAGGGTGATGTTACTGGAGACAGTCGCAGAGCATTGCCTGTCAAGCCAGCTATGTTGTTTAAGCTTCGAGATTTTTCATAGCCTTGTATGAGAAAATGCACAGACATCAGTTGAATTCAGCCAAAAAAATAGACAAAGACGAACAATACAATGTAATGTAATCCAAGGAGCTATCTGGGACTCAGAGGGAATCTGCCTGCAAAAGAACTCAATGCTGAGATACATTACTAGCAAAATATGTTAATAAATAGATTTATTTACAAATTAATGCAGCTATTCTTTCCCAGAAAATTAAGCAGACCATCACATGAGAGATCTGACTACATCCTATCCTGCACTCAGTGCCACTCTGTTGGCTTCAGCAGGGTTGCACAGAGTGCAAGATAAAGAATCCCAACAGAGTTACTGAGTGAGTTACTGGGCTAAGCATAATCCAAAGCCCATTAAGACAGACTATAAAAACTGTTAGAATCACATAATCTCTGCTAAATCCAATTCATAATAAAGGATGAATTTTCTTTAAAAATAAATAAAACAAAAACCAGGTAAAATTGCATACAGTATCTGTAAATCACTTCTGATGAATGATACTATGGGAAAGAAGCTCCATCTTCAGAAATATTGACCCTAAGACTTTGCATCTAATGTTAAACTATAATAAGATAACAGATTTTGACATATTTGCAAATGCATTCTGACTGGCAAATTTAAAACATCATATTTGTGGTCATTCTTCAACTGACTCAAATGAAATAACCTGTATTAATCCACATAAGCGAATAGTAAATAATTAATCATTAAATGAGGCAATCACATAATGCTTCACAATTTGGAGGGAACATTGCACTTGCAGACATTTCTGTTCACATACTCTGTGAACGCTAGCTACCTACTTTTTGCTACATATAGGCTGTTTTTCACCACGTAGAGGCTATTCTGTAAAACACTGGAAAAGCATTGCTATTCACGGCTTCACTATCTTCATATTCAAGTATTTTCAATAGCACCTGAATGATCCCACTTATGAAGAAAACAATCAGCCCATCGGTCTGGAGAGAGGTATCAGAAAGGAAATACAATGAAGATGAAGCCAGACAGGATCCCACTCCTCAACTACAAGTATAGATGCTTCACTGCAAGCACAAGAAGTCCCTCTGATTTCAGTGGCACTACCTATTCCCTTGAAGATAAGGATGCGCCTCAGCATTTGTCAGGTTAAGTCATTCGGGTATAAATTGCTTACAGTGAAATACTGAGACTTTTCCCATAGAAACTGTAAAACGTCAGTGACAATACAGCCAAACATTACACAGGATGTCACCAGACATTTTTGTCTTATTGATAAAGTTACTGGCTCCTGATCTCCAGATGACAGATAGTTAACAGAGTGTTGTTAATATCTCCAGAAAAAATTGTATCTCAGGTTCTCCCCTAATGACAATCAACGTATTTCTTACCTACTGAGAATTGCACACTGTAAAACTATACTTAAAATAAATGTATAAAGTCATGTCTGCTAAAACTTTGTACAATGTTCTCTCCAGATTGCAATGGCAGGCCAGACTGTGATGCTTCACAGACTTCTCATACATTTCAAAAACAGCCTCCAGTTTCTGAGCTTCTATCAGTATTTACAGAGATTAGAAAGAATCATGTTTGAAAGGGGAATAGAAGGGAAGCATAATGCTAGCGTATATATTTAACCTTCCTGTAAAAATAAATCTTACAAAAAAAAAAAACAACCCAAAAGAATCAGGTAGCTTTTTGGGTTTTTTAAACAGAAACTAGGATACTCTTTATATAAAATATTTTTCCTGCTACCTTTCTAATGATAAAAGCAAAGAACTGATAGGGGAAGATGGTAAAGATGATAAAGAAAACAGTAATTCCTAAAAAATGAAAAACAGATACACAACATGAGTAGAGATAGAAGCATGATCCAAAATCGGCACTTTCCAGATATTTCATTTGGATCAGCTTTGAATCAGTATCATCCTATAGATGGAGTTTAGGTGATAATGCAAAAAAGCCAAGAATAAATGATCATTGAATACAACCAAGAACCAACCAAGGAATAAACCAGACAAGCAGGATGTACCACAAAAAAAGGGGAAAAAAATAAAATGAAAAAGTAATAGACTTGATGTGTGAATCGAATTCAAGTATTAAAAACCATTTGGATGTTACATGAAGAGGTTTTCTGTTTATGAGCTAACTTCCCTACTCTTTATAAAATAAACTTCAAAGACAATGGCTAAACATTTCAGCTTAGACTAAGGTCATCATCAGAGCCAGTCAAAGAGCGTATTTCTCACTGAGAAACTGTCAGTTCTGAACTCAAGCTCCTTTTTTCTAGTAAAAACTATTAAACAATTTTCTCTTTAATCTAGTTTTTGAAATTAAAATATTCACATAGTCTCAGTATAAAAGACATTTTATTGTTATATGAATACGTCTTTAGAAGATAATTGGTAACTTCTTTTATTACTTTTGATCTGTTCTAATTATGATTACTGCCAAGTGGACTGCATTCAAATGTTTATACTAACATTTCTAAAAGAAGTTAAAAAACCTATCTTGCAAGATGCCATGACAATCTGCCTTATTCTGGTGTTCCTGACCTCCTTAAAAGACTGGACCTTTACAATGAAAGATGTTGTGAATAATTCTAGTTGTTGAGAAGACCATGCAAAATACGCACTCAGTGGAAAGCATCCTAAATCTGTACAAAAATATGTTTGCAATGAAGTCCCATTTAATCTAAATATTATATATAGAATATATAAAACACAGGAGCATAGAGACAATCATATTCTTTACAAATACCAAACATATCGAAATCTGGTTGCATATCTGCCTTTGCATGTTCAACCTACTTAGCTCATGCTTTTAAAATACAAAAAAAGCATTTGCAGAATAACCCAAGATAAGTCCTTCAACATCTATGGCAGGCTGGGAGAGCTATGTTTGCTGTATAGAAAGCAAGGGGGTTTTAAAAAAAAAAAAAAAAAGGGGGGGGGGGACAGAAAAATGTCAGCCAAAAATGTTTGTCCAGTGCCACATGGCTACTGCAGATGAACTCTGAGGTGAACAACTGCACATCTGCACTCAGAAATGGGAAACCTGTCAGAATGATACAATTTGCCAAGAAACCAACACAATTCGTAGATAAGGAAATAGCAAGACTTCCACTGGCATTGCTGATTTTGTGTCTATGCCCTGAGGTTAGGTTTCCAGCCACAGCCAGCTGTGGCCTGATGGGATAGCCCCACCATCAGTCACCTGGGTGATACATATAAGGACAGGTTTTGCAAACTCTGCCTGGGGAGCCCAGTTCTACCAAAAAGTGAGTAATCAGATTTGAAGAGGCTGAATAACTAGAAAGGCATTTTTAGCACCTTGCAAGATCAAATATTGTTTATTGTAGTTGTATTCTCATTGGGGTAGACAGTCACCTTTTAGCATTAGTGGTGTGCTACAAGGAGGAAGTATTTTGTGGCATTATAAACTCAAACGTCTTTGAAAGAAATCTAAATAGCATCTCATATTTTACGCTTTTTTGTGTTCAGAAGAAAAATGTTGCTTACGTCTGACATTTCAACCTTTTAAGTGTAATTTATTGGGCTGTAATTTTTGCTAAGTTAAGTGCATACCAAAGTTATTCAATCATTAATTTGTCTTTTAGAATGACAAATGGTATTGAGTGATGAGTGGTTGAATGAGCAAGGTCTGAATTGCAGGCTTTTCCAGTAAAAGTAACAGGCAAATGAAGACACAAGTGAAATGATGGTCCAACATCAAGCACATTCTGTGAAGACTAAAGGAGATGAGTGTTTCTAAAAGGAGAGCAAGAAAAGAATGACTAGGAATAAAGAAAAAAGATACATTGTGAGTACAGTCTTTCCTCTACGAGCATTGTGCACAACATTTTACTCTAAGCTTGCTTTTCACAAGCACATTGCTGAGTAATCTTTTATTATCTAATGAAAGATGTCCATACCTTTCCTGATCCCTCCATCAGTAGTACACGTGTAATCACCTGTTGTCAGTAGGAAACATGTTCCCCCTCTTCTGTTTTTGTCTCTGGTACTAGAGCGTCTGATGGGAGGGAGCCTTTCACCAGGTGAGAGTGGCTGCTCACTTCCTGCACTGTCTTCACCTGATAACACTGGTTAAAGCACCATGCCCATTTACAGACAATAATGAATGAGGAAATGAGACATCACAAAGAGCTTATGCTGAATGCTGGATATTCCCATCACTCAAAAAATAATTATAAGGTAAATCATTAGAAGAAAACAAGATTGCAATCTACCATTAATCAATACAAAATGGCAAAAAGTATATTTTTATTCAAGCACAAATGATCTTTGATTTTCCTGTTCTTTTAAATCTCATATAAAGGTATACTAAATTAACATGAAATAAGAAATAATCAAATCAAGGCTTGGTTAGTTTCCTATTATGGACTGTAACTTTCCAGAATACAGTCAGCTTTGGATATTTCAAACAAGTATTTATTATTTAGGGTATCCTTTTTGCTAAATAAGTGGTCATGTTAGTAATTTTTGCTTAGAATATGTCATTTAGCGTATTTTAAAGACAACTCCACCCCCAGAAGGGTTGAATTTTCAATATTTGGCATTAAAGCCTGTTTAATAACACACTTAACTTTCATTTCTATACTTATCACACTTGCACTGTTGGTCATCATAAGTACCCAGCATTAAATGCTGCCTTTGGTCTGTGTAGTTTATTTTTTCAAACAATAAAACTCTCCTGATTTGGCACTCCCAAAGGACCCTCTTTTAAAATCATCTATTTCAGATTGAGGCTACACTTCTAGAACGACAAAAAAAAATCTCTGCTTAGTGCAGAACATAACAGGTAACGTCATGTTAGTGACTTCAGCTTTACCTTTGCATTTAAACTGGAGTATGTGTTTTTTTGAGCTGGTAATGCAAAGCACTATATTCAGCCTTGAAGTTTTGCACAGAATTACTCGTAACTCTAACTGCATTCTCTACCTGTAGCTGTAAAGCTAGAGTGCACAATATGAGTGGTGGCACTTCTGAAGAGAAAGTTAACATTTTAAAATGCCTTCTTTCTGCATATCTGCTTTCTCTCTACCTTCAAGGATTATAACACCTTGTAAATAAGGCTGCAGACAAAGAAAAGTGTTTCTTTGCTCTGATCACACTGAACCTCCTCCATTCTGGGATACCTTTAGTAGGATCTGATGGTATGAAAAAGTTATTATCATTAACACTTTAAAGATGTCTGAAAGTGGGTATCAGTCAAAGCACTGCAAAACTAACTATATTCCACCCTCAGTGGGAGTCCTTTCAAGGATTTCCATCTTCTTAAATATATTTGGGAAGTTCAAAAAGCTGTGTTAACTTTGTCTGTGAACACTCACTCAGAGACTGAAACCAAGCTTCTTTGAACATAAATGCTATTCAGTAACAGAGCAACAGACCAAAGACGGATACTGTTCAGAGACCAATTTTTCAGACTCTTCTTTTTAAAAAATAAATTTCAATTACTGAATTATGCCAGTTATGGGTGGTTTTGCTCTTATTACGCTTTAACAGGTTTCCAACAGGAGTTTCATGACTGGTATGTGAGCTTTGCAATCAGATTGTGCTTGGCTTAAGTAGGAATACATTCAAGAAACAAACAAAAAATTCCTTGCTACTAGAAATTTTTTTTAAATATACTGAGAGAAAAAATTTACTCTCTAATTTGAAGAGACATGGAATATGTTGCAGTGACTTGGAGGGGCAGAGGCTGTCATTTGATATGCATTTTTTCAATGATTTGCACAAAATATTCCTTATGCGTCATTTGGAACTCTATCAAATAAGGTGATATAAATCATAAAAATCAGCACTAATAATGATGATGTTGCTAGGGGCTGTCATTTTCATTTTTCTTGACAAATTTTACAACAGCTATTCTATTATCATTCAATGAATAGTAAATATCATGCAATGTCTCATCTAACACAGACAAAGGAGGTTCTTCTAGCCAGGGAAGTGGAATGCCAAATGGAAAGAAAGCTAGAAACATAATTTCTTCTCATTTCCTTTGAGTGCTGGGCTTTGGATGTAAAGCACCTGCTCCTTTTAAATGACTGCTTCTTTGTAGAATCTTGCTTAACAGGCCACGATGTGGCACAGGCAAAGCTGACACAAGAGACAGACACTGAGGCAAAACACCATGGAGTCCAACAGCGTGGGACACAGTGGCTGCTCAAATAGTCACAGTCATGCAGGAAAACAAGAAACATCCATACGACGCAACAAACAACAGGCAAAAGAAAAGGTTGATATCAACAGCAGGAAAGCATTCTCAACAGAGCAAGCAAAACTGTATAGACCAGCTACATAGAGGTTTGGGAACAACGCTATTCCTATTTTGTCCTCTATGAGACTGACACACGCAAACACTGGAGGGGAGAAGGGTGGGAGCTACGTCTTCTCCTGGCAGAAAGACTGGCTGCTTTCTGACCCCTACCAAACATACTGGTCTATAAAGTGTTTTCAGAGGACACGCATTTCCAGTGGGATCCTACCTGATGATCTGTTGTGCTCCATCAGCTGGTTGTCCTTGCCCAGGCAGATATCTCCCTGTGTGCTATTGCAGGCCATGTTCAAGTCCGTCTTGCAGAAGGTGGGTGAGCTGGCTTGAGGAGCAGGAGGGATGTGCTTCTTCCGCTTCCTCGGCAGTTTCTGCTTTGCCATGGCCAAGGAGTAGTACATCCCAAAATTGTTAACAATCACAGGCACAGGCATGGCTATGGTGAGCACTCCCGCCAGTGCGCACAAGGCTCCCACCAGCATGCCTGACCAAGTCCGTGGATACATATCCCCATATCCCAGGGTGGTCATGGTGACTACAGCCCACCAGAAGCCGATAGGGATGTTTTTGAACTGTGTGTGTTCACTCGCCGACGGGTCATTAGGCTGGGCTCCCACCCGCTCTGCGTAGTAGATCATGGTGGCAAATATCAAAACACCAAGTGCCAGGAATATTATCAGCAGCAAAAATTCATTGGTGCTGGCTCTCAGAGTGTGGCCCAGCACCCTGAGTCCCACAAAGTGCCGGGTGAGCTTGAAGATTCGCAGGATTCTCACAAACCTTACCACCCTGAGGAAACCAAGCACGTCCTTAGCAGCTTTGGAGGAGAGCCCGCTCAGGCCCACTTCTAGGTAAAAGGGTAGGATGGCCACAAAGTCAATGATGTTCAAGAGGTTTTTGATGAATTCAAGTTTGTTGGGGGAAAAAACAACACGTACTAAAAATTCAAATGTAAACCACACCACGCAGACTCCTTCCACGTATGTCAGAGCAGGATCTGTCTCAATTTCATACTGTAGCACAGTTTCTGTTCCATTGATGACCTGTTCAGTTTTGTTTATGATAGTATTGAAAGCTTCATGTGTTTCCAGGCAAAAGGTTGTGATTGAAACTAGGATGAAGAATAAGGAGGCAAAGGCAATGAACTGAAACAAAAAGAGGGAAAAAAGACATCAGAATCACACAGCTCTTCACATTAATGCTAATAATGCCAGTGATCATTATAAATCTTGTATTGTTTCATCCCCAAGTGATTCACAAATATATATGCATAAAACTTGGCATCTATGCCAGAGGATAGCAGCAGATAGCTCTCACATGTAGGCCAGGAGTCTGGGAGTGAGGAAAGTCTTGGTGATGGCCACCACGACAGGCGGCAGCTCATGCTGAAAGAGGCAATAAATATTTAAATCCATGCTAAATCATCTGAATTCCTTTCAGTTGTCAAAGTACGTTGCAAACAGCCCCCATATGCACCAACTACAGCAAAATTTAAGGCTCTCCACTTCTCTCACAGAGTGGAAAACGTGTCTGACCCTAATGGTCTTGAGATTACAGTTCAGGAATTCACATTTGACATGAAGGCAACCTCAGAGGGTCTTCAAAGGGTCCAGAAACAGATCCAAACACCAGGTTTCCTTTGCATTTTCAAGAACTCACAAACACAGGATATTGACTGATAGAAAATGCCTTCCGTGTTACAGGTAGAGTTGGTTGCACAGCCTGCTATATTCACAGTTATCCATCACTCACACTTTCAAGCAGGACTCAGAGTAAACCCAGCAGAACCTCTCACTCTGCAGTTGGCAAAGTTTTGCTGGTGTGTGAAGATCCACAATCCTGCTATCAAAGTTACAAATCCAGGTGTACTGGTTTCACTGGGATAGAATCATAGATTCAATTCTCAGCTCTGGAAAGACTACAGTACTCAATTCCATGGGAATAAAGTTGATAAGACAGTTTGGTTTAGTTATTGGCTGGCTCTCATATGTAGGTTGCTGTAGTGATCAAGGTCTTTAGCAGTTTCAAGTTTGTCAGGTGCAGAAGCTGGGGGGATCAACAAGCAGAGCAGCTGACCCCAAGCTGGCCAACAAAACTATTCCATACCATAAACATCACATTTTCTATATACTGGGGAGCTTGCTGGCCCTCTCTTTCCTCAATGGCTGCTGTCCCAGGAGGGTCTCGCCCATCGTTCTGAAGCCTCCTCTCCCGCTTGTTGTAACCATCACAGCTTGCGAACACTGTATCAGCTGAGTATAACTCTGTGCACTTTATATTAATACTGAGTTTTATTATTATTATTTTATTAAATCTGTTTCTATTTCAACCCACAGGTCTCCTTTCCTTTTTCTGATTCCCTGCTGTGAGTGGGGAGGAGCCATCAGGTGATAGAACAACTGTCTAAATGACACCACCATGACAATATGAACAAATCACAGAATATTAGGAGTTGGAAGGGATGTCAAAATATCATCCAGTCCAACCACCCTGCCAGAGCAGGATCACCTAAACTAGGTTGCACAGGAATGCGTCCAGGCGGGTTTTGAATGTCTCCAGAGAAGGAGACTCCACAGCCTCTCTGGGCAGCCTGGTCCAGTGCTCTGTAACCCTTACAGTAAAAAAGTTAACCTCCTATGCTCCAGCTTGCTCCCATTTCCCCTTGTCCTGTCATTGGCTGTCACTGAGAAGAGCCTGGCTCCTTCCTCCTGACATTCACCTTTTACAAATTTATAAACATTAATGAGGTCACCCCTCAGTCTCCTCTTCTCCAAGCTAAAGAGACCCAGCATCTTAAGCCGCTCCTCATAAGCGAGATGCTCCACTACCTCAATCATCTTTGTG